TATTTTTGAACCGAAGAATTTTCATGAAATTCGAAAACAAAATAATTTATTTTAACAAAAGATCTAATCTGAAGATGACAGATATGGACCCAACTCTTCTGGTACCTATATATATATATATATATATATATATATATATATATATATATATATATATATATATATATATATATATATATATATATATATATATATATATATATATATATATATATATATATATATATATATATATATATGTGTGTGTGTGTGTGTGTGTGTGTTTTTTTTTCAAACTTTGTACATCCCAATATTTCTAGAAACCATAAATCCAATATAAATAAGGGATATGTCTGTCCGCTCGTTTTGCTTCCTTTGACTTTATTTGATTTGGATGTTTAAATAGCGTCGGCGAGCGAGTGTGAGTCACAAGTTATTTTTTAATGACTTAAATAATGTTTGTTCGCTGGGAGTGCATGCACAAGGCCTTTTTTCCGACGCCGGCTTAAAATTTAGTCTTTAAATGTTTATAATAAAAGGATAAAACCTGCAATATAAACCATTATATCAGGATATACTCTCATCGCAAATTTGTACAAATAAGAAATTTTCAAAATTTCTTTTAAAATTATTCTAAAATAAATATATGTTTCTTTAAATAAATATTTTTCCAAAACACCCCTTGGTGTAAAATTCCTAGAATTATCCTTAATTTCAAAATATTTATTTTTGTTCGAAACAAGAAGTTTGGTCAAAAGGTCAGTTGACCAACCAACCAACAGCTTGCTCTTCTCACCAACACCTCTCATATATAATGCCAACAAAACCCGTATGTACCCACACCACCACAATTATTTTACAACCAAATATTCCTCAAACTCCCTCTTCGCCAAGTGAGTTTAATAACCTTTTTTTTTGTGATCTCACTTGAGTTTTCACTCCCAACAACAAGGCCGAACACAATTTGATTTGTATAAAAAATTATGCTCCCGGCTTGGCCATAATGGTGCGTTGTTAAGGTTGCTCTAGAACACAACCACTTGAAATGGGTTCAAAAAAGCAAAAAAAAAAAAAAAAAAAAGAAAATTTAAATAAACATTCATTACCAGAGAATTGTCTTAACTCAAATCGAGAAAAGAAAAACAATACCAGGCGGAGGAAAAATAACAAGACCCAGCAGCAGTCGTTGCTTAATGAAAATAAAGCCAGGTTTTGTTGTGGTTCAGTGATGTTGACCAGTTTTTGTTTCAGACAATGTTTATTTAGCCATGGTTAAGACGATGCTATATGGGAAACGGAGGAAAGGAGGGAGGGTATCAAATGGTAACAATCTAAAATACTTTGGAATGTGAAAAACTTGAAGTTGTAAGATAATATCTGGTTCTCCAGATGATCTTTTGAAAATGTTGTCTGCTTTTGAAAGCGTTATAGATGGGTCTTCCATGCATATAGAAGGCACTTAGGGAGATTGTCTTTTGAATATATGGAGGAATAACAAAACAATAAAACAGATGTATACCCCTCATCCTACATAAATTGATCAAAATATATTTTGGCTTAAACATGATTCGTAATTTTGACCCTTTCTTGGGAGATACCAAAGGAATGGACCAATATTATCCACTTCTCATCTGAACTAATACAAATATTGCAACGTTCCCGATTTGGACTATATCGACCACTTTCTTCACTTTTTATGAGACATGTGATAATTTGTGGAAAATTTTGAAATATGCGTGAGGTTCCAGATATAGTGGACCAAGATGTTCCACTTCATGTAATACTGATAAAAAAATTAAAGTAAATCAGACATATATTACCAGTTTTATGGAAATACTTGTTAATCGAAGTTTCAACTTTGTGGCGGAGGTACCAGAAGGGCCAGTCGCTATCTACCATCTTCACGCCAGATCTTGCGTTGGAAGAAATAGTGGGATGTGTGAAATTTGAAGAGAATCGGATGGTAATTTCGCATTTTATGAAAGGTTTAATTATTCAAAATATTGACCAGAAGGATTGGTGTGACATATTGCATCTTCACAGCTTATTATGTGTTGATAGAAATATTGAGATGTGCAGAGTTTGCTTTAGCATCATGGTTATTTCAAATTTTGATTCCTTTCTACTTACTTTGTGCTTGTGTGGTTGAATGTTGGGTTGTGCAGAGTTTGAAAGGAATCGATTGCACATTTCCCGTTTTATGAGCTTCATGGTAATCAAAAATTTGTTATTTTTTTATTTTCTTTTGGTGGGGGGGGGGGGGGGTGCTTGTTCCAGACCGAGTGGTCGGATATACCCCATCTTGTATTAGTATAGATATTGGTATGTCTAAAACGTGAAGGCCATTGGACTCTTATTTCACATTTTAAAAGAGTTACAACTATTCAAAATTGTTGACCCTTTATGGGGGAGGTACCACAGGGAGTGGACCGAACTCAATCTAAGTGTTACAATAATATTATGATATATCAAGTTTAGATCAAATCGAATACTCTCTTTGAGAGTTATCGTGAGCACCAGCCAGCCAGCCAGCCAGAATGACGAATTCCCCTACATCGACTCCCCTAGATCGACTCCAAATGTTCTGAACGGATGTGGTCCAAAGTGACCTAAGGTCTAAAACCATTAATTCGATGAGGCACGTTTTGGTCGTATCACATGATATAAACCTCCTGTAGCCATATGACTGAGGATATAAAAATGTTTCTGAATCACCGCACGTTTTTATCCCACCCTCTTGGAGAAGGGTATATATAGTTTGTAATTCCATTTGTACCACCTCGAAGTATACATTTTATACCCCATAAAGTATACAGGGTGAGATAAACATATTTTAGAATAAGTTTAGATTTGTTCGAATTGATCATCTATGGCACGAATTATGGCCTTCCGTCACACGCTGCCCGAATGTTGCTCTGCGGCATTTTGGCCCATTCCCGGTGATGCGCTTGCTTGAGGTGATCGACAATTTAGTATTTTTTAGTGCCAACCTTGCTTTGCAAAATACCCCAGACACAATAGTCCAACGGATGGTATCCGGATTTTGGTGGCCGTTGTGCGTTGGAAATGAAGCGAGGAACCCCATTTTGTAACCATTCTTGGAACCATTCAAGGCTTTAATACACCCTTCAGAATATTTTCGCGTTAATGTTCGGCATTTTTTCTGATGCCACGGTCCATAAATACGAGCGGAGAGCGACCATCGACTGTTATGGCGGCTCACACCATCATCATGGCCGGCGCTTGAGTTCTAGTGGCCAACCGAAGGTGCACACATTTGCCAAATAAAAAGAAATCACGCTTGAATTCCATCACGAATAACTTTTTTTCTGGAAAATTCTCTCCGATGTGCTTTTGTTGTAGGCTTGTAAACAATAAAATGAGCTGTGGCTGGAATAATTTTAACAGCTTTCGGACGAGTGCCTTAGAAATGACAGTTACAGTTTTTTCATCTCACCCCGTATATGTACATGCTTCATCAGCATAATTCTATGTCGATTTATCGATTTTCCAATCGAAATGAAGTAAGTTGATCAAATTTAACTCAATTGTATTTGTTGTTGTCTGCAGGACTTTTGGTATATAAATGGACTATATATGTCCACGTTTTGGTATAGTCCCCATATAACTGTGCCGACAGATTTAACGCCTTTAGGTTATTTTAGTCACAATTTAAACCAAATTTGTTGCAAATTCCCAGTATGTCGAAAACACATTGCAGACACCGCTTTTCTTTAAAAAATGCTATTTGAAGTTCATAATAGATACTACCTATTGTTACCAGAAATTTGCCTATACAAGTCTACATCTTTATGCAGCCCCCATACGACGGTACCTTCCTATACTCTGCATTTTCATGATTAAACTTAGCTTGTTTTACTTGTTGTTTATTGACAACACTGGGTGGATTTCTCTATCTATAGAAAACTTAACGGAAGTAATGTTTTTCTTCGAAAATTTCTATTAAAAAATCCCAATTACATTAATGACTATATTTTATATTTTACAATATTTCATATTTCTTTCACAGCTTCTAATGTGTTCTGAATGGAGGGAGCCTAGGTTACCGGTGTTTTTTTTCAATCAAGAATTGTTTCTATGATTAATGATGGTCATTAGTTTATGTTATTCATTGTCATTATTTCAGTTCATTATGAATTTTATTTTTGCTACTTTACTAAAATTCTTCGGAAATATTTATTTGTTTATTTTTTCGATTTCATTATTATTTCAACTGAATTCAAACTATCTGGAGATTTGAAACAGCTCGCAAACAAGGTGGTCTAACTTGGAGTAATCAACAATAATTAATATTTTTGGTTTTTTGTTTGGTTTTCATAGAACAAACAATCGCAAGACATTGATTGTTATTTAGCAAATAACGGAGAGCTACTGTTTGCCTGCCATTCTGTCCGATAACTCCCCTGGGGCATGCTAGGCAACATTTGTGCACTTTTCTATTTTGGGAATTCAAAAAATTGTATTTTTCAAAGTACACCTTTTTTCGCTACGCTTTAATTTTAAACATTGGAAAGCAAGTAAATATTTTGGTATCAAAAATGTAAAAATACAAATTGAAAAAATTCATTTAAATTGATCGCTCTCTTGGGTATTTTTTCGGTCTGCCACTTCTTATTTCTTCTTTTTCTTTTTTTTTTTTGTTGCCTGTCAATCAAAATATTTATGCATTTTGTCCATTGTTCTGCAGCGCTGACTGAAGATGTTTACTTTCTTGTGAAATATTTTTGATTCATATGTTTGATTTTTAACTCTTTCTTTTGTCTTGTCAAAGGCCACACTTTAAAAATGCCTGACCAGTTTTAGGGGGTTTCTTAACAGGAATTTTGTCGGCGCTCTCTTAACAAAACACCAAGGATTTCTTTTGTGTCTGTGGATGTGTATATGTGTGGTGTTGGCCTTTTACAAATCCTTTTTACAAATTATTATTATTTTTTTCTGATGTTTATCTTGATTTGTGTTTTTTAATTGATTTTTAAAATATTTTTGTTCTTCCTTTTTAGGTGAATACATTCGTCTACCTTTGGATGATATACTTAACGACGTTATACAATTTGCTGAATTGGCTGGTGGCGAAAACGACGAGGTAAGCAGGAAATTTCATAAGATAAAGAATTTAACAAAAATGTAAATGCCTTTGAATGGTTTTCCATCGTCCGATGATGGACAGATAGGGTCTTTTAGTCCGTTATTTTTTTTTTTTTTTTTTCTAAAGATGACCTTCAGGAAGTATGCTATCCACAAATAGCCTCCCGAAATTTCTTCTATCTGTGGAAGAAGTCAGCAGCCCTATAATCCTAAAATAACTTACAATTTTCCTAAAAAAAGCTATCAATTAATTGAGGAACTCTTGAATGATCGACTACATTCAAAGCGCCTCTCCAAAAAACTTTTAGTTGTAAAAACAATCTTGAAAAGTATTTTATCCTCATAAGAACTAAAGAAGATCCTAGGTTTATAGAAGAGCAGGATCTGTCTTTAGAAAAGCAGGACCTGTATCTTTGAAAATTTGAAATGAAAAAATATTTTCTTTCATTTCTAAAAAAATCTTAACTTTTGTTGTTGCAAAATGGTCAGGCTTTATCCCTTTATTGTTGTTTTTATAAAAACAACGTTTGTATATTAGTGTTCTGTTCCAAAAATCTTAAGACTTTTTATACTCTCTCGCCATATGACTACCATTTTATACGGCCAAAACATGCCTCGTCGAAATAGCTGTTTTAGCCCTAGGTCTCTTTTGACCAAATCCGTTTCAGAACATTGTGAGTTAATCAAGGGGTCTCGAAGGGAGTATCCGATTTTATCCAAACCTGGTACATCGTAATATTATTATCAAATTTAAGTCCAGTTCCGGAATGGATCGGTCCTCTCCATCTGGTACCTCCCCCACAAAAGGTCAAATTTTTCACAGAAAATAATTTAGCCCATTGAACAAGAAAGGATCATCTAATTTCGGTCTATTTTTCTGGTACAAAAGGTCAACATTTTCACAGAAAATAATTTAGCCCATTGAAAAAGAAAGGATCATCCAATTTTCTGCAAACATTGCAAATCCCAATATTTTTAGGTCAGATGCGAGAATGAACAATATCGGCCTACTCTTCTAGTACCTCCCTCACAAAGAGTCAACATTTTGAATAATCTCAACGCTTATAAACGTGAAAGAAGAGTCCAATTCAATATCTCCAACAACTCTGGTATGAAGATGGGATAGGTTGGACCACTCCTTCTGGTCCCTCACTCTCAAAGGGTCTACATTTAGAAAGACCATGACGCTCATAAAACACGAAATGAGTATCCGATTCCTTCCCCAAACTTGACAAGTCTCAATATTCCTATTAATACAAGATGAGGTATGAAAATAGAATATATTGACGCAGGAACCCACAGTAATCCGTAGGTGGGACCGGGTTCTCCTTTGAAATACTTTCTTTTCTACAAATTTTTCTATATTTTATATGGAAAAGTTTTTTTTTTTTGGTATAATCCTTTCCCGAAATGGGTTTGAAATACATTTCTGTATATGTCTCTGTAGAAAGCAAACAGAAGACGCCTTAAAAGCCCTTCATAAAACATCTTTTAAAAATAATTGTATAGATAAAATACCTCTTAAATGGTCAATATAAACGTCATACTGTGGATAGAGAGCATCGTTCCTTAAAAAATCCCTGGAAAGGTCATATTTCTATATATAGCCTCTTTAACTTGCCTTTCTACATTGAAGACATACAAAAAAGAGGCCTCCAACTTTAGAAAATCTCTCGAAAATATTTTCTCTAAAGAAGTCTAAATCTTAGCTGCTCCTTATTTTTCTAATACTAATCAACAAAATATATTCCTTTCTCTTCTTAAACCAGGACGACACAACCGGTGCCAGTACCTCAAAAGCCGCTGCAGCTGCTGCCAACAAGAAAATTTTGAAAACTGACAACGAGGACACGGACAACAACGACGACAACGATCCGACAGATAATCATTCAGCAAAGAAGAATCCATCATTGGATAAAACATTGAAAAGTGAAGGTGGTGATTATATTCCAGACGATTTGGAAAACCTTCACACCGAAAAACAACTATCCAAAGGCAACAAGAGCAGTGACACCACTAAGGGAGACGCCAACGAAGAAGACAACGACGATACCAACAACGATCACGACGACAACGATCTACCACAATCTGAGATTGAAGTCAGCTCCATACTATCGCCATTGTTTGATTTAGATGACGAAGCAAAAGAAGAACTAGCCGATCTAAGTATGATGTTACACTCTTCAGCCCCCTTTGCACCCCATCATCACCATCCACATCATCCGCATCATCGCGGTGCAGCCGGTGGCGTTGTGGGTGGTGCCCAAAACTATGGCAGTGTGAACAGTGCATTCCATCGCCAGCCGAGTTCGGGTGGTTTCCATCATGGCCATCATCAGGTGAGTGGGAGGGAAATGAAGAATTTTCTATAATTTTTGTTTTTTTTTTTTTTTGCATTTTAACTGAAAAACAAACCAGTAAAGAAAGTCTTAAAGTCGGTCGGGCTGACTTTATGACACCCTACACCACTTTGCTAATTTAGTAGAGCTTCGCATAACAATTAAAAGTTTTTATGGGAGAATTCAATCATACACGCTATATATAATTTAATGTTCAAAGGACTAAATATGCCGAAGCATTCGGTAAATCGGCCGACGTTATATATGGGAGCTATATCCAAATCTGAACCGATCTCGATAAAATTTAGCAAATGTATTTCTGAGCTGTATTTGATATATTTCCCAAAATATTGTTGTTACAGAGTGCATATTACGGCTACGGAGGACAAAAATAACAAATGGGATGAACAATATATATGGGAGCTATAGCTATATCTGAACCGATTTCGATCAATTTTGGCATACTTATTTTCAGGCCTAATTTGGTTGTATGTGCAAAATTCCATAGTATTCAGGGTGATATTACACGTTTGGTGCACAATAAAAGGCAAATCGGACGAAGATATATATGGGAGCTATATCTAAATTTTGACCGATTATCTCCAATTTCAATAGGGTTCGTCGTCGGTCCAAACAAATGTTGTTTGGAAAATTTCATCTCAATCGGATAATAAATGCGACCTGCATTTTGTTCACAAGAATACATGGACTGACGGACGGACGGACGAACTGACATGCATAAATCAACTCAGAAAGTGATTCTATGGAGATCCTCAAAAGTAACTATGAGTCTATCTCACTTCCTTCTCCATGTTACAAACAAATGCACAAAGACATAATACCCTTTCCACTATGTGGTGTAGGGTATGAAAACTGAACTTTTAACAAAAATAATTTTAAGGGCTTTAGAGATAAGAGACCTTTCAATGGACAAATATTCGGTCTATATGTCTTCTAAAGATGGAAATCCTTTCAAGGTCTTTTGTACAAAAATGGTCTCTCAAGATCTAATTTAGATAGACGCATTTAAGAGATCTATAGAAATAGGAATTTTAAGTGTAAATAGATAACTATTCACGGTTTTCTATTGATATTGATATTAATGAAATTTTATGGATTAACGATCGTTTAAGGTCTTCAGAAGATTGGTAACCTTTCATGGTCTTCTATGGATAGATAACATTTGAAGAGGGGTTCTATAGAAAAATGATTTACCAAGGCTTTTTATAAATGGACAACCATTTAACGTCTCCAATGAATAGATGCATTTATAAAATCTTTAAATGTATGCATTTTCAATGTCTCTTATAGATTGGTAGCCTCATAAGATCTTTAGCATATGATTGACCTTTGGAAAAAACTTCCAAACTTTAAGTATTGTCTATTTTTCAATGCCACTCAAACAAGAGCTAATAGCCTTTGTCCTTTTTCGAACTAGAATGCAATCCGTTCGATTCTTTTCTTGCTGCTTTGGTTATTTTTACACAAAACTACCAAAATTTACTGCATTTTCTCTTCTTTATCTACAGTACCTTGTTGAATGTGTTATTCTGCTCTCCCATAAAAATGAATGCCACCTACTTTTATCTTACCAAGTAATGAGTATCGGTGGCGCAGAGCGTACATTTCTTACATCTATATTTATGACTCGCTGTATAATTCTTCATTTGCCGACTGTTAGTCTCGAACTCACAACAGTAGGTTTTGTACCCGTGCGGCCACACTCTGTACCCAGGTTACTCATTACCTGGTAACGAGCAAAATAAGAACTTTTGTTGGTATATTTTTTTAATAATATTTTTGAAGCAACTTTGAAATGGAAAAGATAGTTTATCTACATTACTTGTTATTCTGCTCGTTTAGCATCCAATTGTACATACACACTCTGCACTGCCGTTACTCATTACTTGGTAAGGATAAAAATAAGTATTTTTGCTTTGTATTTGTTTAAGGAATAACTCATTATCTTTCAAGCGTCTGAGACTGAAAAAGTTTATTGGCTTGTATTACCTTATTATGGATTATTTGGCACGGGTGGTGTCCAATTGTTTGCTTGGTGGCAATTTGGTACCATGACATTTCGTGAAAAAATAAGGGGGTCAGTAGGCTGTTTTGTAAGCAGTTACAGATGGCAAAATAGACTTGATGAACCCATTGATGATTCTGATGCCATGGTCGATTAATACGAGCAGAGAGCGACCTTCGGCTGTTATGGCGGTCTACACCATCACCATGGCCGGCACTTGAGTTCTGGTGGCCAACCGAAGTTGCACATTTTCGATGACCTTCTTGGCATGTAAGCACGATCATTTTGTTTGTTTACAAACTGCTGGACAACGAATGTTTTCTCATCGGAGAAAACCAAATTCGGCAGTTCACCAATTTCGGCCAAGCGATGCGGTGTAAGTTCTTGCACTTTTTGAAATTTCAATGGCTTTACCGGAGCTCATTTTTCAATATTTGCCGAATGGAATATTGCGATATGTTCAGCTCACGAGCCATATTTCGATCACTGCTTTTTTACTTTTCGAACCATTTCTGCTGATGTTGCTGTTTTCTTCCGTCCACTTCTTTGACGCCGGGCTACGCTATCAGTTCCACGATAACGATCGATGGTACGAGACACAAAAGATTTGTTCACATTTAAATGCTGGAGTGCTCTAACGACAGCCACTTGTGGTTTTCCAACCAAATATAAAGAAATCACACTATCACGCTTGAATTCCATCACGAATAACCTTTTTTCGGGAAAATTCTCACCAAAATGCATTTGTTCGCTTGTAAACATTATAATAAGCTGTCACTGCAATATTTTTAACAGCTGTCGGAGAAGTGACTTAGAAATGACAGCAGTCTGAAGTTGGTTGTAGTTTTTTCATCTCACCCTGTATGTTAACCTACCGGTAATTCGGCAAACATGTGATCCCCAATTTATTGCTAGAAAGTAACGATAATCACTACATTTATATATGGATTTAAGGTCAACTGTTTCGGCATATTATTGATATTTTTAACAAGGAGGAGAATATAAAAAATTATCCACGGCATAAAGGTCCCGAATTTGCTTATTTCATTTGCTACTTATTTTATTTGCTACTTATTTTATTTGTTAATTAACCAAAAATCTTTCTAAAACTTAAATTGATTTTAAACGACGTCTTTAAAGACTTCCTTAATTGATAACAGAGTTCTTTATTAACCCAGCAATAACTTTTGAGCCATATGGGGCAAAAACATATTTTAACCCAGCAAAAACGTCCATTTTTTATTAGGTAGGTTCCCATTACATTAAAAATGACATGTCGCACAAAATAAAAAGTTATTTTCTCGTCCTTGAAAGTCAATGAATAATTGCTTACATGACTGAGTACCGTGTCAGGGTTTGATTTGTAACCTATTATTTGGTAATTGGTTTGTTTGCTGGGTTGTCCTTTTTAAGGCAGAGAACCTTTTTGTGTTAATAAGACTTTGTTATTGGCTATGGGGGCAAAATATGACAGCTGCAACTTTTAAAATACGTAATTCGAAGTTAAGCTTCTTTAGGCAATCCTAACAGTTTTTAATCAATTAAAAAAACATCTAGTAATTTACGGTTTAATTTAAACAAAAAACAAATCCTCTATAAATCTAAAAATACACTTTTCCCTAAAAAAGCCACCACATTCTGAGAATTCTCATCAATTGTTTGAAATGTACTTTTGTTTTTGCCTGGCCACTTCAATGCGAGTTCACTTGATCGGTGAACCAGTGAACAAAACACAAAATCATTAGTGTTAATATTCACATTAATTGAATTACTTTCATTAAGGCTTTTGTTTGTTGGACTACTCACACAGAAGATCAGCAAACAGCATCCAGACAAATTGCAACAGCAGCAACAACAGAAGGATTGAGAAAAGTCGCAAATTAATAATTATTTTTTTAAGTCTCTATCATTCATTCATGGGAGATGGTAAAAAATTCCCCCTTTTTTTGTCTTAAAATACATAACTTTTTTCCCTGTCGCACTCTCTCAACCCAGCCAGTTGATCAGTCTATGAAAATAAATGTGCCTGACTCGCTGGCTGACTGGCTGTCATTCACAAGACTTGAAGTGTTGAATGGTGGAAATATTAAACGACAGTTAAATAAACTTGGCTTAAATGCTAAATCCCCAGCAACAAACAAAAAAAAACTAAATTGACATTTAATTACAAAGCTTTGCAGTAATACTTTACCCCATACATTCATTGCCCGCTCTTTGTATAGATGAACAGCATCACTGCTCACCTGTGCATATACCCATAGATTGCCCCCGTTTGTGAAGGGATAAATATTGCCCGACACACAGACAGACATTCAATCAGTGGAGTTAAGTTTACGGCTGTCACATCAGTATTTTTTTTGTTATTGGAATTGCTGCATATTTTTGCAATGCTCTTTTGTTGGAGCGAAAGAAGGGTAGCCGTAGGCTGGAGTATGGAACTATGCAATTAATATAAAATGCCACTGCATTAAGATTTTTTTCTGCACATAGAGCAAAGAAAAATTAAAAAAAAAAAACAAATAAAGTTTGTTTTTCCTCGAAAATATTTAATTTCTATGGTAACTAAAAAATGTTTGCCTGAGATTGAAATTAAAAGATTTCGAATTTAGGTCAAATAAATTAATAACTCGATATTTACAATACCCTCCACCATACATAGTGTGGAGGGTATATTCAGTTCGTCATTCCGTTTGTAACTCATCGAAATAATAATTTTAGACATAACAAAGTATTAAATTCTGGATCAACGTAAAATTCTAAGACGATTTAGCCCTGTCCGTCCGTCCATCCGTCTGTTGCAATCACGCTAGAGTCAAAACGAATAAAGATAAGAAATTAAAATCTTGCAGAAATTAGTCTTTTGTCTGCAGACTGGTCAAGTTGGAAGATGGGCTATATCGGTCCACGATATCGTATAGCCCCCATATAACGGTACCCCCTTTATCCGGTATTTTGATGATTGTAGCCAAATTTT